TTTCCACTCAGGGCTGTCCTGAGTCGTGGCAGTGTCAGTGGCAGAGCAGGGAGATTGGCGAGGGGTGTGGGGGGCAGAACAGGAAGCAAAGAAGGATGAAGGCACAAGAGTCGGAGTCAGAAGAGCAGCAGATATCCCAGGCAGCCTCTCAACATGGGCAAGGGCACCAGGACCCCATCCACCATGCAGGGGATTGTGTCCAAAGACACTCCCTGCACAGCTGGCTGTGACCAAACAGAGGCTGGAAGAACAGAGTCAGAACAAGGCACCGAGATGCAGGGGGGTCAGCAGAAGTCAGCAGGGAGCAAGGCAGGGGCAGGAACAGGGGCAGGAACACTGGAGTCCTGGATGCTGAGATGCAGGAGGACAGCAGAGGCAAGAGGAGGGACCAGAACAGGAGAAGATGCAGGAACACTGGAACACAGGGGCTCAGAAAGCAGCACGGCATTAAGAACAGTAGGCACAGCACAGCCAAAGAGTTTTGTTGCTGAGGCCAGTTCTTGGAGGGAGGAACCACTCTTTCAATAGGCCTTCCCTCCCAAGAACAGTAGGCACAGCACAGCCAAAGACTTTTGTTGCTGAGGCCAGTTCTTGGAGGGGGGAACCACTCTTTCAATAGGCCTTCCCTCCAGGTTTCCAGGTGAGCCTCATGAGTGGCCCAGCAGCTGCTACATAGGCCAGCGAGCTGAGCCTGCAAACACCGACCATTCCTAGGTTAGGCTGGCCCCAATCCCGCAGTTGTCAGGGCGGTAGGGGCCAGATCCTGACAAGCAGCAGCAGCAACAACACTCATTGTTACGCCGAATCAACAAAAAGCTTCAGCATTGCTCCTGGCTGGTTTGGCAGCGTCCCAGGGACCCACAAGCTGCCACGAAGGAAGAGCAAGAGTGTTTCACTGACAGAACAATGTACCTACAAAAGTTTTTTTTTTTAAAAAGGGGGAAGAAGTGGGACAGAGAAAAGCAAAACAGGAGGAAGGCGATATGTCCCACGTGAGGGGTGTGTAGACGAATGTACCACTTCTAATTTAGCCTTAAAAGGGTGGAATGGTTAAAAAGGTACGAAGCACTATCACAGGATCTATGCCACATGACTACAACATTTAATGACACAGGAACCAGAAGACACAAGAAAGAAGGGAAGCATTTCTCTAGTCTGACCACAGCCTCAGTCTTCTCTGGCGAACATCATTCTGGTAGGGGCAACAGGAGAAGGGTATGGGCAAAGAGGCAGAGGTAGAGGGAGGGCTGCTATATATCTTCTGTATTAATATACATGACTGGTTTACGTGGGTGACAGTACAGTGGAACCTCTACTTAAGAACTTAATCCGTTTTGGAATGGTGTTCTTAAGCTGAAACGTTCTTAAGTTGAAGCAAAATTTCCCATAGGAATGGACTGAAAACCAATTAATCCGTTCTGGCTGTTTTCTTGTTATGTAGAGGTGCGTTCGTATGTTGAAGCATTAGTTCCCATAGGAACTAATGCAAAGCTGGTTAATACGTACTCTACCACTAGGGGGAGAATTTTTTTTTAACCTAAGATGACCTAAGGTTAAAAAAAGAGCAGGAAAGGTTTTTTTCCTGTTCTTATCTTGGATTTCTGTTCTCAAATAGAAGCAAAATTTAGCAAATGGAGCTGTTCTTAAGTTGGGTTGTTCTTAAGTAGGGACGTTCTTAAGTGGAGACCCCACTGTATCCAGACTTCTGGCCCTCCTATATTGCATTGTATTGAATAAATCTATGACTGAGTTTGGACAGTATTTGTTTTTCAGGCAAAACAATCAGTGATGCGATATCGCTGATATTGTGTCATACCTGATATGAATTGTATCATGTTATGCCTAGAAGTTATGGATGATGCAATCATAACAAAGCTTACATCATTTTGCTGAATAAATTGCTCTAGAAATCATAGTGTCGTGCTCTCTTATATGTCAGTATTTGATTTTGCAAAGGGACACATTTCTGTTAAGCCAAAGTAAGAGATGTCTCGTACTTGTGTGAACGGTGCAGATAACTTCTACTACATTTGTGGTGAAGTGACTTTTGCATCAAAAAAGCACAGTATAACCGCTAAGAAAGCCTGTGGCCCTTATTTCGGCGTTTGTGGTGAAGTGACTTTTGCATCAGAAAAGCACAGTATAACCGCTATGGCTAAGAAAGCCTGTGGCCCTTATTTCGGCTGCAAAATTAGAGATCAGGACAAGAGATGGGCCCCACACATATGGTGCAACACTTTTGCAACAAATCTTCATCCGTGGTTGAACAGGAAAGAAAATCTGTGCCTTTTACAGTGCTAATGATTTGGAGACAGCCGACAGACCAAAGCAGCAATTGTTACTTCTGCATGGTGCCTCAGCTGGAAAAGGTGTGTCAAAGAAAAAGTGGACTGTGTATTATCCAAACAGTCCATCAGCTATGTGCCCAGTCCCCTATGGAGAAGGACTGCTGGTTCCTCATGCACCAGAATCATTCTCACTTGAGTCAGACACGGAAGAGGATAAGATTTCTGGTCCATCAATGTCACTTTTTTCTGTGTCCAGCGCACGTTTTCCCAAGGAGTCCTTATTTTACCCCAAACTTTTACCTCAGGAGTCCACTATACTAGTGGTTGTTAAGCTCAGACAGCTTTTCAGCAATTCTCCTACTACTTTTACCCCAGATTTTTACCTCAGAGAATTGCTCTGCTGGCTTAAATTACCACACTGAAGAAAAATACAATCTGTCCCCCATCCAGCTCCCTGGTTTTGCTGGTTTAGGGACTGCCTCTTTGCCTCGGCCTGCTGGACAAGGGTCTCTTCAAATTGGGAGAGGCCGTGATGCACCGACTGCCTCCAGGCTGAACGCTCAGAGGTCAAAGTTCCCCATCTGTCAGGAGACTACTTAATGAACTTGGTCTTCCCTCAGATTTCCACTGATCCTCCTACCATTTACTGTAAACTTGTACCTCAGATAATCGTATTAGCCAACTACCTAACTGACTTTTTAACTGAGTTAGAATTTCCAGCCAGCAGGTCTATCAATCCTACCACACTGGATTTGCCCAAGACCTCTTCAGGAGATGCAAAATCTTCACCAGACCTTTTGACCCTGCTTTTCTACCCTGGTCTCTAAATCCACCATTTAGAATTTTCCTCAGACCTCTCCTGGCTGTTTTTTTTTTTTTTTAATCTCTACTGAATTTTTCACCTCACACAACACTATCACTAATTTATGTGACCTCTCCTGATCCTTTGAATTTTTCATTGGATTTGTCAGATGTCACAACGCTGCCACCAAATACTATGTGACCAGGTCAACCTGGTGAATCACTTTTAACCTGCCCTTTCCTTTCCCTGGGTTTGCTTTAGCAATGTCACAGGATCCACATTATCTCAAAAGGTGGGGAAGCATTAAACGTTAGTATTAAGGTTTGTTGTGGATTAAGTGGTATTACTTTGTATCAATACAAAGTTTTCTTAACTCGTATCTTCTTTTGTTGATTATGCTCTTAGTATTATAGGTTTATTTTTCAATTAATTTTTTTTAAAAAGAATGAATTTTGGACTTGCATTGTCAGCTGAATTAATTGATCGCAAAAAGATCGTCGTAATGCATTTTTGTCGTAATGTGGAGCAATCGTAAAGCGAGGCACGACTGTACCGTGTTTCCCCGAAAGTAAGACAGGGTCTTATATTAATTTTTGCTCCAGAAAATGCATTAGGGCTTATTTTCAAGGGACGTTTAATTTTTTTCATGTACAACAATCTACATTTATTCAGATACAGTCATGTCATCTTCTGGTTGCTGCATAAGGGTGGAGAGCAGGGTTTCACTTAACTAGGGCCACCTCCTGGCAAATAGAAGGGGAAGATCTGGAGGCAGTGACAGA